ATTATTATTATTATTATTATTATTATTATTATTGCAGGCTCAGTCCAGGGACTCAATCCACGGACCTCTTTAACCCGACCTAGACTCATTTTCAATAAACGTCCCTCAATAGGTAAATTATAAATGTTACTTAAGCAATAATTTTAACATCGTCTCATGTTTTGTACTTCATTGTGACATTAAAAATGCAATTGGTTCATTAATCTTTAATATACACGGTTTACTATCTCATTGTTCAATTATGACGTCCTATTACGTCAAAGTAGAGTAACACACTTTGAAATGTCTGTTGTCTAGCTTGGATCCGTCATTCCATGATTAAAAAAATATCTATTCAGTCTTAATAGCTCCAAAATGTTCGCTGATAATGTTCCCTTTGTGTCTTACCCCTCTCCGAGGCTTAAAGGGCTAAAACGAGACATGATCCTCTATCTCAAAGAATGAAATTTTCCGATTATCCATAGTTTTCCACAGAATTGCATCGTCTTGCTGTTAAATGACCCACGTCAGTCGTATAGTAGAAATATCTTACTAATCTGGTCTTCTCGGCTCCTGCTTGTTTTTCCCTCCTTCGATTCATGACCCGCGCGCTTTGCGCCTGGGTCATAAATAGAAATGGCAAACGTTGGTCCGCAACTGACACTATGGACCTAGAAGACGAGGAGAATAAGAGGAATGTAGGACCGAAAACCTAAATGAAGTTTAGTCATTTCATCGCTGATTGCCAAGTGATAAAAAAAAAAAGTATTTACGTTGAACGCGAAATGAGATATTTTGAGACCTTGCACTAGCAAACCTTAGGTAAAAACTCCATAGATATCAACTTTTTTTGTAGCTCCTACAACGAAACACTAGTTTCGAGATAACTGTAAAATGCTACTTCATGCTCACTAAAAGCTCTAACACGACCAAAAATTTAATCTTCAACTAAGAAACTGATCAAACCTACTTCAATACATACCCACAGTACACGCCAGAATAGACAGCTGTTGTAGAAAACTCGTATAGACTTCTGGTAGCTTTAGTAAACAGTGTGCCGTGATCTTCTCTACAGTTATCAGACGTCTTTGAAAGCTCTTTACTTCTACTACAAGAAACCTTTGTGCGTGTGACGTCATAGTGAAAACAGTCCATGCACATCTTTGAAGGCCAGCCTCCGGCCCTTTTCACTAACTACTGCTAAGGTCCATCTCCCCATGATGCGAATACGTGACCATGCATGCGGTACCGTAGAATTCCGAAAGTAACCGCCCCTCTGAAAAGCCGAAAATAACGGCTTCCCGAAAGTAAAGTTAATTTTTTATCTTCCTATTGAGCCCCGAAAGTAAAGTCTCCACTAAAGTCCCCACGAAAGTAGCGGGCCACCCGAAAGTAGCGGGCCACCCGAAAGTAGCGGCCCTTTGAGGAAGTCACTAAAACAGAAAGTCTCTATTCTCAAGCGCGGGTCATGCGTATTGAACAGCCTGAATGCAGGACTGAACATTAACTTGAAGAGTTATCTGTGATTTTATGTCTAACTTGACTGAATTTTTCTTGAAACTTTGACTTATAAGCTGTGTTTGTCTAGCAGCAGAGTCCAGCAGTACTCATTCCCCACCCCACCNGTGGGGTATTCGCAATTTTATCGCGGCCTGGGGGCTGGGCATTTGCGTACCCTGGGGCGACCCCAGGCATTTGACCCACGTGTTTTCGAAATTGTCATGGATGAGTTCATCGGGAAAGACGAGGCGTTTGTCAAACATAGAGTGGCCATTTTTGTGGATGGAAGGGTCCAGCTTAGTTACTTGCTTTTGACACTGTTGAACAAAAATTATCTAGGTTTTAATTTTTCGGTTATTGATTCAACGTACTGTTTATAATCAAGTATTGAAATAAAATATTAAATTTGTGAGATTTCTAACTGAGAATGATAGTTGTTTTATTTTAAACATTGTTAACGGGATTGTCGTTATTCTAGTCGAAATATTCAAAACAAATGGTTTTTATTCAACAAAATATTTAATATCACGCTATCCTCTAGCAAACTGTTAAAAACAAAATATAAAGAAATAAATATAATCAGAATCAACTAGCACGTACTGTTGTCCTTGAAGTTTTACCGTTGCATTAAAATACTGAACAGTTGAACGTTTTATTCACTGATTAATAAAAAAACTGCAGCGGTGTTGGAAGGCGACGATCCCGGGACGGGGCATTTGCACTCTTTCTTTGTCCCCATCCCGGGGCATTTAGACAGCTTATGTGTCCCCACCCCGGAAAATTTGCCCACTTTAAAAAAAAAAAAAAATGCTAATGCCCGGGGGTTAGCCCGGGGGGATGGGCACTGCTGGAATTGACTGACGCATAACTGGCTGTAGGGTAATTAGTTGTATTGTGATACAATGGTTATACAGTCTGGTTTGTTTATGAGGGTAGTTGGAAACATACATAAATAGAGTGTTTAATTTTTTATGTTGCGCGTCCGCTTTGTCTGAAACGACTGTTACTGTACGAACGTTTTTTAACCATCCTAAAGTAACGGCTACCCGTAAGAAGCGGCACTTTTTGCCTGCTAAATCCGAAAGTAACGGGCGCCGTTACTTTCGGAATTCTACGGTATGATAGAAATACCGTTGGCATACACATGGTGGATCAGCTGATTTCAGCCGATTTAATAACTTGTCGAGGTCAGATCGTCGGCTTTTCTCTTTCTAGACAGTGGCACGTTGCTCGCTGTTGTGCTTTGTAATGGAAACCAAAACCATGCACTGTATGAAATATTTGGACAGCTTCAACGATGAAGCGGAAGTTGGAACGAAGTTGCAAACGAAAGTTCATGCAGTTACCCCATTTTCAAACCAACTTCAAGAAAAAATCTTGCGTCAAAAGCACCTTCAAAAACTGCCGCATGACGAATAATTTTATTTAGAAAAGCACAGAATTAAACAAAACGGTTTGCACCGAGCTCAACACGACATTCATTTGTTTACGCACAGTAGGATGTGAGCTTTGACAAGGAACGTAATCCCTGCCCTGTCAGCTTTGCCGCTTTCATCACTCATAATGAAACGCGATACTATACTACTGAGACGTCAAAATATTAAATAGACTCAGCAGTGCTGATCGACTGAAGCTGAAGGAGAAGAGTTACGAATCGAATACTGAACTACGTGGAAATAGATCTTGGATAACGCTTAGAGAAGTTATTATGGAAATCATTTACCGTATAGTGTTGTGGACAGTTGTATTCTGCCATTACACGTGGTCACAAGAAGGTAAGAACACATTGTTCTCACTACATTAACCTAAACGAACGAGCGAAGTGTTATGTTCCGTTGTTTGTACAGCTCGTGCACATAACTAAAGTAGCTTCTCAAACTGACGCAAATCAAACAATATCCGTGAAGTATTTTATAGCATAACGTAACTGTGCGAAGCACCAACATGTCCAAACACATAAAATATGGTCTATTCAATTACTTGTTTACAGCGCGTAAAAATAACATAGCACGTGTACTGGGTGAAAATGGTGGAAAAGTTTGACCGCACGTCATGCACGGATTGTCAGTTTCACACTTCAAAAAATCGAGATATCGATTTGTGAGAAGTCACGCTGCATATAACAGTAGATTACAACCGTTTTTAGCTCTAAATCATAGAGCAACAACGAATTACGAAATCCTGTCAAAGCATAATAACGAAAGTTCGCGAAAGTACCGAAATAAAACGTCAACAATTAGATGAATCTGTAAGAATTTTATTTCTCAATCAGTGATTGGTTAACTTTGCCGCCGTTACACCGAAAATGAATGAAATTATTCAGCCCATGAATAAACTTCAGGAGTCTGAGGCCCCGTCAACTCGATCTAAGCCGGACGAATTTGAAAACAGAGATTTCACTCTGAAAATGCATCAAATGTTTTCCGTCCACACTACGCCGGAGAAATTTGAAAACGCAACAATAACCTGTGATGTCGTCGTTTTTGAGAAGACCCGTTTTCAAAATACTTTTCATCCAAACTAAAATACAAAGCCGGCGTTTTCAAATTTCTCCGGGTTGAAAAGCGTTTTCGAAAAGTTCCGTTTTCGTGACGGATTCGTGTGAGCGGCAGGCCTGCCGTAGAAATAAAAGTTGCGTTTTCAAATTCCTCTGGCGTAGTGTGGAAGGGGCCTGAGTAAGAGATATGAAATGACAGGAAATCTAACTAGTGCAAAAAACAGACTGATAATTAAGCAAAAAATAGTACCTAGGTCAAGCTGGCGATGAGGTCTCGAGACTTCCTTTAGCGGAGGAAGATACGTGCCAAAATGCCCAGATGTCATCCCATATAATGGTATGACGTCATTGGAGCCGTCTGCCTGCATGAAATCCAGTAATGTGTTGGCATGCTCGCTTCCTGTCACGTGCGCAAATGGCTTTTTTTATTATTACACAGCCACTGAAATAAACCGATCAAACAATGTCAGTACTTTGAACTTGTCAGCTGTGCGGTAGAAACTTTACAGAGGAATGTAGTTAGAAGGGAAAATACGGCAGAACGCTACAGTAAAATAACTTCTTATCAGCAGTGAAACGAAAATTCCTTGTGGTTGTGTACTTATGACTTTGGGATACAGTAACCTATGCCTTTTCGCACCAGAAATTTCTTAGAGTGTCTGCAGAATCATACATCGGCCTTTGCGACACAACTTTTAAAGAACGGTATAGAAACCACACGTGCTCTTTCAGAAACGAACGGTACAGAAATGTAACGAACTGAGTAAACACGTATGGAATCTGAAGGACCGTAAAATAAATTACGAAATCAAATGGAGGAAAGTAAAACAAGCGAAATAGTATTCAAACATCAACAAAAAATGTAATCTCTGTTTATGGGAAAAGTTTTTCATTATTTGTAAACCGGAAATGGCAACACTAAACCAAAGAAACGAACT